GGTATACTCGATGAGCAAGTTGGCATGACTTTCTTTTTCTAGCTTTAAATAGACCTGAAAGTGGCGGGAACAGTTCAAGATATTAACGATGCTTTGGGCCTAGATTTGCAATAAATGTGCTCAGAAGCAGTAGTTATTCAGGGCGTGACGAGCTTTTTGAAAACGGTCTTTTGCATGATATAGGGGCAGATGCGGGAACCACAGAACCATGTTCAATTTTTCCTGAACGGCCCTCTGAATACCAGAAAGGAGGGTCCCTAGTTCGATTCCTCTTGGTGACAAATTTTTGCATTTCGAGTTGACGTTCCAAAATTCGCGCAAAATGGAGTTCTGATTGTTCTGGTTGGTTCTAACTCCATTTTGCGCGAATTTTGGCACGTCAACTCGAAATGCAAAAATTTGTTACCACGAGGAATCGAACTAGGGACCTCCTTTTCTGGTATTCAGAGGGCCGTTCAGGAAAAATTAAACATGGTTCTGTGGTTCCCGCATCTGCCCCTATATCATGCAAAAGACCGTTTTCAAAAAGCTTGTCACGCCCTGAAAGACCTTCCTGGTCAGGAAGGCAGTAGTTAAAAAAATTTATTGTAACGGAAGGCGAGAGCCTTGAATATGATGAGAGTAGTGGTCGGACATCGGACGGTGTCTCCGATTAGCCAAAAGTTCTGATTGAAGCACTTGTGCGTAAGACCATAGAGGAGGTTCTGCCCAACCTGGGCGTATATGGTTTGTACAGCCAAGCTATACGGAAGAAGCTGGAAAGTCCAAAAAATTTGATAGGGGTGCCGCGACAAATCACCAATTTGAAGGGTCGTCCATCAAATTGTCGCTTGTTTTATGTGATGAAAGCGACTCGTTTCTCTACAGATTTGCGACGTACAATAAAGAGCGGATTCTTCTCTATAGTCTACGAAAGTTTGCTGAATAGATCGACGGCGATGAAGCTCTACAAACTTTGCAGAATTTAAACTGTGCTGGAGGAGGGTTGTGGCAGCTTTCATGGGGCCAGCGGCTGGCCATGTTCTTCAGTATCAGATGGAACTGTTACAGTGGAGAATCAATCTTTATACTAATCAAAAATCATCAAAAACTCTAGGCATGGGTCCAGCATTCCTCATTATAAAGGAACGCACACATCCCTGAAAGGTGTCTTGAACGCACATCGCACGGCCAACCCTTCACAAGTTGTACCAGCTGAACTTTCAGAGTGGTTCTGCGAACATCTTACTTAGTAGACCTTTGAACTATCTACTGTCAAACTTCTGACGATCTCGATAGCTTCCTTGAAGAGAAATACATCAAAAACCAACATGATGCTAAAACGACCTTCCCTCAGTTCATCGCCTCCAGAGGTCCAGCATTCCAAATAAACGTACCCTGTTGAACGGTTTCTTATAGAACAAAGATTCGCGCTTTCAATGGTTTTTTAAACTCGAAAGGTTCAGTCCCAAGCCGAGATACGTGCATTTAAAATTAGGGGTTGGAAAAAGACAGAATTTCTGAAAGCAGCCTGATACTTCCCCTAGCGCCTCTGCCCCCACTTGATTTATTCTTTCTAACTACTCGATTCTAATAGCATCGCGAGTGAATTATTCATATCGTATGTTTGTTTTTATTTGCTTTGAACAGCGGCCAGCTTAAATAGAAGTCATTCTTCACATTTTCTCCTATGTTTTCTCCTACAAGTGCTTTCTTCTTAATGAATCTCGCGTTTCAAAAGAAAAAGAATGTGGCGATACAGTTTTGACTGCAAATGAGACTGTATCATAGTTCTAGAACATATTTAATGTCACTACTATTAGGTTGGAAAGAAAGTTCTGCAACACTCTTTCTAAAATTTTCTTTTTTTTTTCTGAAAAATTCATAGGTAACATTTATGACTAACAAATGGTAGAGCATTCTCAGGCTTCAATCCACGAGGTGGATATAAGTGCTGCAGTCAGTAGTTATCCAAGAAAATTCAAAAAACCTCGACCACTAGTAAATCCATACTCCGAGTCACTGTCTAGTACAAATGTCTCCATAACTATGGATTCGTGTCAAAGACCAACACTATCTGCAATAGCTTCAATAGGCATGCCGTTCACCGCTACAGCGTGTTTCACCTTTACCAGCGCTTTCGATCTTTTGATATTTTTATAAGAAGCCAGTCGCGTCCCACTACAGGTAGGGCTCTTACGGAAGCTCAACTACAAATTCTTCGTTATGGGCACCATTGTGTAGGTAGAGGTCTATGCTGCAAAATCCAGAAGTTGGCCGAGGCAGCTCGTCAGGAGCCCTCGTACCGCGACAATATTTATTTGTTTCATGACATTGCGAATCACCATGATCCGAAATGAGCCGGTACAAAGTTTCTCTTAGCTTATTCCCCTGGTCGAGCATAAATGACTGCCACCTATCCTAGACCTTAAATCATCATCTTGATGACGAAATAATTAGACGATCAACTCCAACTCGAAAGTGAGGTCGCCTCCTTTCTCGACCCGCACTCCGCTGGGTTTTGGCAAAGGAGCATCAAGAAATTTTCTGAGCGTTGAAGACAAGTGGTGGACACTCATGGTAGATATAAGACCGGTCAGGAGTTGTAACAAAAAAGATAAAATTAAAATTGAAATCAAAAATTTGAAAAAGTGTTGCAGGACTTTCTTTCCAACCTAATATTACGAACACCTTTTCTTACAAGAACAAGCCATTGTATAGGTTTTGAGTCGCTCCAATGCCTCTACGATTTTAAGTTGAACTCGAAATGTGTGACGCGTAAAAGGGGCGACTGTAACGCCATTTTCGACTAACTCTTGGAGGTAGACCTGTTTTAGAAACATCGCGAAATTTCTGGACTGAATTAAAGTGCAATGAATTGCTTTTTTTATGGATGGCTCAACTTTTCGAAGCCAAAAAGCGAAGCGGTTCTATTAGCCAGTGATATTACGAAATGGCTTCAATTTTTTAAAACGCCTAAATTTTTTGAATTCTTGAAGCATTTTCAAATCTGCACCTAGCAAAAATGAGACATTACTAGAGTGTCCAGAAAAATATTAGGCAACCCCGTGGAATTTCCCAACGCGGCTGTTTCCAACATTCTGGCTTTCGGCATAGTTTTTATGCGTTTTAGAAAATGGAATGTTGTAGATTTCAGGCCTATCTGCAGCTCTGCACATCATCGTATTTGAGGTTTAACTTGTGTCCATTTGACTAGTGGAACGTTTCATTTCTCTCTCTCTTTCTCTCTCTTCTCTTTCTCTCCCTTGTATTTAGTTCGGAAGAAACATATTAACTTACTCTAGTCTGAACACTAGCTGAAAACGCGTCACAAGTTCCTTGGTGGGTGCTTTCATCGGATGAGAAGAAACGTGATGGGGTCATGTTGTGGAGACCCCGAAGACCTTTATGGTAGGGTTCGTATATAAGGTTCAAAATAATGCGCAACGCGATGCTCGGCGATAATCTGGGATACGGCCGCCACATTATGGATAACGTACCGAATTTTGAGTTGAAATGGTAAAATGGCGTCACTTGTCTCGTGAGTAATCGGGGGCTAAATGCTGGAGGGACCTCCGTTCGGGTTATCGAAGACTCATCCCTGTGGGGTCCCTCACTTCGTACCATATTTATCATGAAGACGAAACAGTTGCTTAGGGGTTGTTCACAGGATAGCTCTGCAAGTCATTGTTGGATGGGTCAAATCACCCTCAAGAACCCTGACGTTATGACTTTGATGGAAGTGAAATGGTGGGGGCATGTTAACAAAAGTGATCGACATCAAATGCACTGCCCTACTCTTGTTTTCTTGGAAATTGATCTTAAGTAGTAGAAGTTTTATTTTGGGCTAAGTCCTAAACAAAGTAAATTAGGTCGTGAAAAAATGTACTCTGATAGGACTAAAGGATCACTCATTCCAAAAAAATGTTTTTGATTATTCTCTCGCCAAGAATTGCTCGCCATAACCGCTCAAATGCAAAGTTGCTCGTGTTCATCTGAACGCTTGTTATCAAAGGGTGTTTTGCAAATCTCAGAATGGTGAGCAACACAGTCCCCACAAGCCCATGTGGCTAGACTGTTGAACTGGACTTCCTCTCCGATGCCGGTCTCTTTTTGAGAACCTGCAGTTGGTGTTATGGCTTGCAAATGAGGTAATGTTCAACGTAAAAAATGAGAACGGTAGAGAATGATTAGGACACATACGCGTATTGAAACCGGGCGGTACCATTTGTCACTACAGCAGCGCACATTCGCACAAATGCGCTCTTTATTTCTTACATTAGTCTCTGACATTCCCTGTCGGCATTGAAGGAATCCTTCGCGGAAAATTCTTGCATTCTTTCTCAGCATGAATGTATCAGATGTGATCACACAAAGTTTCACGCATGAAGATTCGGTTTCCGAAGAGAAACAAACTTACAAAAACTACACTCTATGGACAATCGAAGGTAAAAGGCGCGGAGCCAAAGGCGGGGCATGGAAAGAAGTCCGCCTTTGGCCGGCTACGTATCAGGCGACGCAATGAAAGAATCGGGTTAAAGCGCGCGATTTCGGAGAGTAGAGACAAATCGATCGATAGAATAGGATGGAGTAGAAGTGTGAGATGTGAATGCAATAAGTCAAAAGGCCAGAAAGAGTTTCTAGTGAAGGCACTCCAAGAACCAAGTGGAAGCATCCCCGTCGCCAGCATTTGTGACAGATGTCCGGCGGTACTTTGAACGCGTAGCAGCCCTTTCGGTTTTTCGAATTTTTACCAAAACAAAGCAATTTTTCTGTTCTTTTCATTCTTATCGTGGATAATGAGTCTCAAGCCAGTGATTTATGGCTGAAATAGAATCATGATTTTTCCGTGAAGGATTCCTTTAAGAATGTTTTGGTCTCATATTTCACTGTGAGGAGTCCGTCAAAGTAATTTGTTTTTCTCAGCGACTCTTCACCATTCCGCCCGCTTTCTGTTATACAATACTTTTATCATATTGCTCTGTTGTGAAAAGGAGCATAACAAGAAAAGCTGTTTCTAGGAAGAACAAAGTGAAATTGACTGCATTATTATAACGCATTGGCACAACGACCATGTCGGTGGCATCCCTAGTGTCTTAAAACAAGTCATTGGCCATGAGGTAAGTGACGTACTTGCGTGTTAGACCGTTAAAGAGTACATTGCGATTTAGTTCTTTGATTCAAGGTCCCTGTCTATAAATTTCAACGCGGGAAATCTGAGGATCCGTCGCAGTTCCACTATGTACACGATGGTCATGAAGTCAAGGTGGAGGGCGCAACACTAAGGTTTGTACTGTACTTGTATCGAGGATAGCCCTTTATGGCTACTCAAGATAGGCAGAGATTGCATAGCGGAAATTCAATGTCGCAAAGTAGTTTTGGTGCTATTGTGGTTTGGGAGGGCACGTTCGCGCGTTTAGTGTGAAGCGAGTGGTACCCGACAGGAGGCCCGTCGCGCGGCAAGAAGGCAGAGTCAGCGGACGAGTCGCAGCGCGTACTGTAGTGATTTCGCGTCAAGTTAAATAGAATGTACCATTGTACGTCCTACATCGCACATCACGCGCTGCGACTCGTCCGCCTGCCTTCTTGCCGCGCGACGGGCCTCCTGTCGGGCACCCCGAAGCGAGCGACCCGTGATCCAGGGATATATAGGCAGTTGAGGGGTTAGGCGAGTCACTTGATATGCGTGAGTTAACACTTATCACCGGGGTCAAGCGAACAGTCGAGGAAAATTTGGAAATACGACCCCCCCCCTCCCCCAGAGGCCGAAGTCCATGAAACGACCCTCTTCAAAAGCCGAACTATGAAAAGGTTGTTTAATTCTCCCCCAAAACTGTTCATAAAAAAGCCCTGCTACCCCACCGTCCACCAAAAAATTCGTTTAAGAAGTACAAAAGTGAAAAGTCAAAGAATGATCACTTATTAATGAGTCCTACCAACAATAGGAACAAAAAATGACGAACTTCCTTTGGAAGGATTACCAAATTTTAGTATTACACAGAGTATGGTTATCAATTAACACGCCCCCCCCCCCTTCAGCTTAAAGGCACGCTCCGCGATCAGGCGGGCTCGCCTGTTCCATCCAGGGGGTAGTAGGCAGGTGGACAAGTGTTGATGTCGGGCCCCTTTTGCGGCTTGAAAGTACGCGACAAAGGCGCAAGGAGCTCGTCCAACCCGCAACTCACACCTTCGTCCGCAAGCCCCACCCTTCGCTGTCGGTTGCCACGTGGCGCTGCTTGAAAAGCGCGGGCGCATTTGTGGCAGTGGTCCCAGCGCGCGATCCAATGTTTATTGACACTGGAGCAAGTAGAGTTAGGTTCGTGAAACTCGTCCAATTCGCCTCTTCTCTATCCCAAGGTGGAATGTGGCTGAAATAGGGGAGGTCTCTGTACGGGGCGTAATCGGTGGTTTCGTTTGCTTTCCTTCTCTTTTACAGACCACCTCCCACCTATAGCTTCATAACTGAACGCTTTTCCACACCTATTTTATCCCGAATCTTGCCTTTAGAAAGCCTTGTAACGGCCTTAGCCAGCTGTGTGTTGACTGATTTTTGGCGTTGACCCTGGAGCAGCTCATCTACTACAGAGATAAGAACAAATATTCAAATGGTTGTGAACTTTCTTCAGAGTGGACGAATTTTCAATCTGAAAGCAATTTGGGAAAAGAGTTTAGGAAGGGCTCTTTCGCTTTTAAGAGAGGCTGGTTTTTACAATTCCGGAAGCCCATAAACTTGCCTTTGTTCTGTCAAATCTGAGAAGCCTAGTTTGGCCAGACAAAGATTAACAAGATTCTCTCTATTTAAACAGGTCATAAAGCAGTTTCATACGCCAGTATTTAAAAAATGGCCCTCGAGGATTTTTGCAAAATTCAAGGAAAATGCGAGTTTTTACGCTTTCCAAAGCCATAACTCCGTTCAAACTCATCCAATCTGAAAAGTTAATACGTCATCATAAACTAGAAGATTTGCTCTATTCAATGGTTACTAGAACTGCTAATACGTCCAGTATTAAAAAATGGCCACGTTGAGGATTTTTGCCCGAGTACCGCCGAAAGGTACTTTTTCGCTACATTGGCACTATTTCAACGACTATAGCTCCTTTCAGGGGCGATTATGTACTAAAGTAGGAGCAGATTCGGAAATCCTCGTGCTTTTCTCTTTCCAAGAAGTGTAAAATTGTTTAGCGTATCTCAACTTTAAAGGTTACATGCTTGACTCTTTCTCCAGAGAGCCGTAGTTGAAGCGCGCGCAACCAACTGGGCCCACTCTGGGATGCGCCGTGTGCTTCACATCCCTTCAGATTCGAGGACTTACTTGAAAGATAAAATATCTCTTGGAAAACGTGCGAATTTCGGATTCTTTAACTTGTGTGGTGATAAAACACTGAAGTAACTAAGAATTGCTACGGACGCCTCAGAATCACGAAAATTTTGTGTGGGTGAAATATCATTGTTCATTGGAAATCCTCTGGCCTGGCATCGACTCGATCCTTGATGTTTGTCCTCCGACGGTGATGATCCTACTGCATCAATCCGGCCCGATCTCTTCCTCCCAGCGGGCCAATACGACGTAAGCAAACCAGCCCTTTTGGCGCTTCGGCTGGGACCGTATGCTGAATGTTGGGGAGGGGATGGAGTCCCCGACGGTGGACGGACCACTTCAACTCGGTCCTTAGAACCGCCACAATTTGGTGCTTACCTCAGAACTAAGCCTTAAAGAGAGGACGGGTCCGTCCCCTCTCCAAGGCTTAGTCCTGGGGTGAAAACAAACCAGCCCTTCTGGCAGCTGCTGGACAGTGATGCACACTATGGTCAGTACTCTTCCTTAAATCGTACCAACCGATGTTGAAGTAACGTCACCGTTTAGGTTACCCATCCCTCCCACATTCGGTGGACGGTACCCAGGCGGAAACGCCCGAAAGGGCTGGTTTTGCGTACACAATCGCCCCCCTTTCCGCGTGACGACCCCCCCCCCCTGTCGAGGATTCCTCGACGCACGCCGTTGACCTGCTGTTGCACTGTAATGCGAGACGACATAGTTTAGGTTTTCATTCATTAGTTTCAGAGTTTCATTTCTATCATAGCCATAGAATTCTTTATGACTATCTCGCTGAAAAGGACTTGAGGACATTCTGCTTGGCCAGCAACTTTCTCCTCCTCCCCACGCCCACTGATGTTTAGCGCTGAAATTTTCAGGGATTCTGCAGCTTCTTAAGTTCGAGATAACTATTTCAATAATCGCTTTACCACTGGTTATCGAGTGGTATGTCGATGGTTTAGGTTCGTGAAAACTCCTGGTCATACATGTGATCATGCGTCGTTGTGGTTGGTTGAAGAGAACACATTGTTCAGGGTGGTGAGTTTCTCTTTCAGTCGCGTCCGATACTTGGCAAAGTGGTTTCCCTTCTAGCGTGACTGTATTCTTGGTGAGGGTACGACAGTTTTTGAAGATCTTCATGATTACATGCATAGCCTCGGAAAAATAAAGAAGCTGAAGCCACTGCGGATTTATCCAGGTTTGTACTCTATTTCGAACTAGGTTGACAGGAAAGATTATAAATTTCCATGGTTTCCGACAGGACTTTTTTGTGCGTGGGGTGTTCTGATTGGAGCAACAACTACCCCCCCAGATGCAGGTTGTGCTGACAGAATCCACTTTCTGGTGGGAATACAGCTTGCCATTTCTCATACTAATTTCATACTACGTGGAGTTTGTGGATTCATGGATGAGCATGTACAGACAACTCGTTCAGACACCGTCCCTCGCTATTCAACGGGGGTGATAGGTAGTCCTTGTTTTGAGGCTCATCGGTTGTTTGCTTAGCTTTTTTTTTTTATTTTCAGCCAACTTGGCATACGCAGTTTCACTTTCCACCGCAGTTATCCCACCAATTTGATTTGGGGTTGTTGCCACAAGAACTAGGCAAAGTCCACCAGCGCAAAATCAGAGCGATAATAATAAATGGATTGTGCACCGTGGGCATCACAAGGTCACAGTGAGTCTTATTTGGCGCACTCATTGTACATCACAAGGTACGCAATGGATAAAGAGAGGCGACTTGCACATTTTTTGCATGCCGCGTGATGAAAATTGGCGCTATAGTCACGTAATCAGTAGAATGAAGGAGCGCCACCGGAGCTAAGTTTGTCGCACGATGATGTAGCGATCCACAACTGGTGATTTTTCGATGGCAACCACGTGGAAACGCGAGACACGCGGTATCCGCGGAACTTCTTGCAGTGACTGAGAAAAGTGTCGGACGAGCATGCGCTGAACTAACTACGCAGGTTACCTGAGCTTTCCTGAAAGTATCCATTGAAGGCAATTTTCAAGGATCCTGTTCGGAACTAGGTCTAAACCGTTCTCTAATGATTTAGTTCTGCCCATTTGCAAACTGCGCATTCTATTTAAGTAACCTTCGAATTAGTATGACAATGTTTACATTTGTCTGTATGAGGTGAGCGCTCAAAACAAAAATCTCTGCTGCGCATTTCTCTTTCGTTGCTCAGGAATGCTCGCCACACAATTTTAATAATTTTTATCTTCAAGGTCATGGCCCAGTTGTGGAGAAGTGTGACGAAAAAGTGAACGAATATGTGGAGCACCGAATGAAACGGGAAAACGAAATAGTGAAGGCGTTGAAGTACGTTAGGAGAGGCGACTAGCATGGATATCACTGTCATCGTATACACGGTACGTTTTGGTGATTCTTCGAGTGAATTCAATATTTCAACTTCCAGAGGACATCTCCCCCGCTATCAGCTTGAACAGGATTACAGAATACCTGTTCTCAAAGCTGCCCTGAGAGTACGAGCTATTGCCTTTGTGTTTACACCTTGTTACTTTTGGGATCGCCATGGAATGGTACCCACATTCCACCCCGCAAATTTCCTTTTCAAATTTTTGAGTTAACTGGCAGTGAAAATGTGAACATAATGTAGGTATGGGTTTGACGAGCTAGCTACAATTAGGTTAGAAGTACGATAAGTTTTGGGAAGCAAAAATGCTACATACTTATTCGCTTCCATGCGCTCAATTAT